CACACACATATAAACACTCACACAGGCTGGCAGGCACCCACAGACACACACCCCCTCCTACCCACCCAAGCAGGGAGCGTGCATTGAACTTCTAATCAAAATAAAGACAAAGAAGACACGCCTACTCCTGACTGAGTGCAATAAGGGACATAAAGTCTGAGGGACACCCCTACCACCACACACACACACAACACACACACAAAAGTAAGACGACACAATTGCCGCTTTCTCCCAGTCAGGCAACTCCGAAAGCATTCTGCTGTATGCAGAATAAAGCCATGGATGGGAGGGTCTGTGACTAATTCTCCTCCCAGCGTTGTCCCGTTGGGAGGAGGGGGGGGTCCCCTGCACCCTTTGATATCCCCTGCCTGTGCTCTTTCAGCTGCCGCGACTTTGTGAGTGCTAGAATAAAGCAGACACAAAGCTTCCTGCTCCAATCCACACGCTGTCTCGGGGGATGGGTAAGCGGGTGGGGGTGGGGGGGTAGGGGGTGAAGGGGGGGGTTGTCTTCCATTTAAATAGGCCAAAACCTGCTGGACTGAAGCCCTTCCGCTCAAACACACTATTTCTCTCAAACCAGTGAGGCAAAAGAGACATTTAGGTTGATACATCTATTCAGCTGCAGCTTTTGTATAATGATTAAACATTGGTAATATATTGTGAAGTGTAATGGATGCAGCAGAAGGCAATGATATAATGGACCCAGAAACAAAAAAAAGGGAAAATTATGCAAAGTCTGATTAGGTGGATAGTGGAGGTTTGGATTCGGGGTTGTGGGTGGCGGGGGTCATGCACATTTTTATATATATAGTATATATAGGTATAATATATATATATATAAAAAGTCACCTCACTCAGCACCAAAATAAGCAACAGAAATTTGGCCGGATCAAGAAAATGAATTCCCTACAGACACACTCACACAAAAGCTAACAAATGCCTTCATTTGGACAGCAACAGCCAACAAGCACCCTTTTGAGCCACCCCAATAGGCTTAGTAATCCATTCCAAAGTGGCAGCTGTCAGAAGAAAAGTTGCTCTGCCTCTCAGACGGGGTTGTGTGTGTCTGAAGTGGATTTGGGTCTTTCTGCCTCGATGGAGGAAGGAGGGGTGGCCAAGTGTCCGGCTGGCGCTCTGTTCAGGGTCGCCCTGTGAGCTCAGCAGGCTGCAGTGAGCCTGAACAATCCTGCCCCGGTCTGGCCAGACAGGCAGTAACACTGCTGCTCAATGAAATCACCATGCTGTGTCCGCAACATCCACAGGCTTCAGGTTCCATGGGGATTTAATGGTCCAATCTGTCTCCACACATCCCAAATACTGCTATGTTTTCATTCACTGGAGTAAGGGAAAGCGGGGCTCTGAATCACATTAAAAGACCCTTTTTCCTGTAAGGATGTTGTTTTGTTTGTTTCACATAGAAGGTTCCTCCAGAATATCATAAAGCTGTGATACAAAGCAGAAATATGTAAAATATTGCTGTGTCAACAATCTGATTGGAGTTGCACTAGGATTTCTCTCTTCAGACCCTACGCATAAGGGTGGGAGAGACTCAAAACGCTTAAAAAGCCATTTGAACACAAGACTGATATTTCAACAGAAAAACGTGTTTCTCCACAACACCATTAACCATTGATTGAAAGTACAAATGTACCTCAAAATCAATGAAAACACCATGCTGTGTTCGCACTTTCCATGTAATTCAAGTTCCACAGGGGTTTAATGGTCCAGTCTGTCTGCACACATCCAAAACACTGCTATACTTTCAATTATTGGGAGTCTTTGGAGAGTAAAGGGTCAGAGGGATTCCTAGCTACTTAATAAAGGGATTTGCTCACAAATATATTTCAAAATAAAATAAAAATGTTCCTCCAGAATATCATGAACCCTCTTCCAATAGTCTACAACGCTCCACTAGAATAGGAGATCTTATAAAGCTTCAAAACACGATTCAAAATCTATGTAAAAAAAATAAATAAATAAATAAATAAATAAATGATACATTCATAATAATAAAAAATAAACACAGCTAAGTCTCCAACAAACACTGCTGTGCTTCAACTAAATCACCATCCCCTCTGTGCTCCGACCAGGAGCTGTGGAGCTGGTGGTAAACATCCCCACACAGTGTACTCCCACTGCAATGAACGCATGCTGCTCATCATGAAGAAGGAAGATGGTAGTTCGCTAAGGCGAACACACCCCCACATCACACGGCCCGTCAAGAAGGGGCTCGTTGTTATTGTAGCCAGCCCTGCGTGCACACTGTCACTAGCAAGCCTCGCTCCTCTCATAAAATAAATAAATAAAAAAAAAACGAAGCGACATCAGAGCCCCAAACATGATCGATATACTGTTATTGGCGCTTCGAT